CGATGGGACAGTCATCGAAGATTTGGTACTGCGATGGGCTGGAGGCTGTGTTGTCCTGGAGGGGCAAGTACTTTCAGCGTGGTCCCGATAGGGAGCCTGAAGGTCAGGATCCCTGACCTCCCTGATGTGTTTGTTTCCATTGAAAATGACAACACGGGTAGGGTTGTTAGTCGCTGTAGGGAGGCTGGATACAGCCATCCTAATGCGATCAAGTTCCCGTCTCGCAAGAAGATCGCAGAGTGCTCTGATAAGGGCTGCGGCTGTTCACGCCCAAGTACTCTTGGACAACGATGACGACATCGACACAAAATCTGGGGATGTACGGGGACATCGCGTTGTCCGAAAGCCGAAATACACCCGGAAAGTTGCTGCGGTGCAGCGGGGTGAGGTGGTTGGTCGACACCGGTTGCCCGATGGATCTGGTCGGCCTTGGTGATCTGAAAGGACCCGATAGGGCCTTGATCACAAGGGCGGACATACTGCAAACGGGCGACTTGTACTGCTGGTCGTGTTGATGCTGATGTCGGTAACCTGGACGAGGTGATTGAGGCACACGTCCTTGAGTCCACACCATCCATCATATCGGTTGGAAAGCGCTGTATGGTTATGGGCTACTCGTTTGCGTGGAATGCAGGTTGCATGCCCACCCTTACGTGCCCTTCGGGGCGTGCGGTGACGTTGGACGTCATCAACAATGTTCCGTACCTTCCTCATGGTGACACTCAGTTCGTTTCTCCTACTCTTGATGACGGTGAGCCACTTCCCGCCATGCCAGCCCCTGCCGTTGCTTACCGTGGAATCGGAGCAAATGAGGCACCAAGGTGCGAGCCCGTGTAAGCGAGCGAGAATAGCTCACAGGACACCTGGAGGACTGAGCGATCAGGTCATATTGTGAAGGAGCACAGTGATTGTCCTGTTAAGGTCGATCGATCAATTGACCAATTACAGGAAGACGGTAATTCACCGTAATGGGGTTACCCATGATGCTCTGTGGGAGTTGTCTGAAAGGGATCAGCGTGCGATAGCATTTGATGTTCCTTGGACGGGTGAGACTTGGTTTCAGGTTAAATGCGAGACCGTTGCTCTTCCTGCAAAAGGCCGAACAGGGGGGTGAGGGCGATAGCCATCCACCGCCTGGTCCTGGCCCTTGGGAAGGAGACGATCGTGAAATCGTCGAGATAAACTTCCTGCCAAGACGCTCCGCCATATGCTCACGCATCTTCCAAAGAACCCATATTGCCCACACTGTCAGCGTGCGAAGATGGAGAATGTCAAACTTCGCCGCAAAGGTGGTGCTGCTGCGCATGACGTGGCAAACTTCGGGGACCTAGCCACTGCTGACACTATGGTGTTGAGGGGGCTGAAGGATCGAGGTTTTCACGGCGAGGCGGACGCGATAGTGTTCTATGACCTCGCTACTGACTACCTCGATGTCCTTCCAGTGCAATCTAGATCTTGTGGCAGTACGCTGGAGGCTTTTCGAAGGTTCGCAGGGGGACAAACTCTGAAGTTGGTGTACAGCGATCAAGCACCAGAGCTGAAGAATGCTGTAACGACACTTGGCGCTATGCACCGGCTCTCCATGCCGGGCATGCCCAAGACCAACGGCTTGATAGAGAACAAGGTTAAGCTAGTTCTTCACGGGGCACGTGTGCTTCTGCGTCAAGCCGGATTTGAACCTCGATGGTGGCCATTTGCCGTTAGGCGTTTCGCTATGGCTAGAAACATTGAAAATCGAGGCGATGGATCACCCTGGACGCGACGCCACTGCTCCCAAAGTTCGCAGGGATAGAAAGGGGGGGTTCAAAACGCCCAAAACGCCATCAGACACGCTAAGAAGGTTGACTCAGAGGACGTCGATGAAGGAGGAGACCACTGGATCGTGAATGAAGATGAGAAGGTAGTCACTCGCGTTCATGTTGAAGTGCGAACCAAGCTGTTTGTCCCGATAGGGGCAAACTGCCCGGTCAGGATCAAGGATCTTGGCAGAAGACGAAGCACAGTCATCAACTTACCTTGATGGATCAACAGAATTCGTCGTTGACGAGAACTGGCTCCAGGCTGAGCATGAGCGCGGGGGCGATCATGAATGGACTGGAGAGACCCACTTTGACTGTGATTTCGATCAGATCAATGAGGATCAGGCCGAGATTTACGAGTGCGAGGAGTACGAGCCCGAGGGTGGTGACGAGGCGGACTTTGTTCCTGCAGATGAGGTAGAGGTCGAAGAGACGAGTTGCCCTGCCCGCCGAAAAGAAGGGACGGGAATTCATCAAGATAGAAGAAGATCCGAAGTTCGCTCCATCATCCAAACCAGGCCTGTTCTTGGGCTATCGCTTAGAGCCAGGGGGGCTGTGGAAGGGCTATTTTGTTGCTGATCTCGAGCACATCCAAAGAGGCCTCAGGAAGCCAAGTATTCACCAGGTCAAGCGCATCTGGAAGAACCCTGAGGAGCCCTACGTGTTCCCAATGTTGGCATCCTACGATGCTAGGACTCGGACCATTCGGGAGGCGTTAGCTGACCGAAGGGCAGAGTTGAAGCCGAGCAAGAAAGCCAGGGATGAATTTGACTTTGATGAAGGTCGGTTTGATGACCCTGATGAGGACGATGACGATGACCAGCAGGACGAAGGGGGGGATAGCTCTTCCAAGTCCGACGGAACCATTCGGAACCAGGCTGTCCAGGGAGGTGGTGACGCATGCGTCTCAGATTACTGGGAGCGGCACGACGAGGACAGTGCTTGGTATCGCATCCACGTCAAAGTGCGGAAGAAGTTCTTCGGGGCGACAAATGAGAACCTTCCCCCAGGTGGTCCTTCGCATGAGGAGCTTGACACCGTTAGGGTCACTCACATGCGGGGACTTGATGCCGTTGGTACTTGGGTAAGGGACGATCGCCATCATGACGCCCCCAACCATCGACATTTTACGCGTGGATTTTGGACAGGTGTGACCCTCTTTGACTCCCCACGGTAGGTTCAGGCCGAAGGAAGAAGAAACGAAGCCTGCCGGAGACTCAAAGAAGGGTCACAAGCTGCACGGAGATAGGATCGACTATGACCAATCCGCCGATAGGCGTGAGCGGCCATACACCGGCACCGGAAAGCCCAACTCTTTTGATGCAGATAGTTGGAGACAGATGTCTGCCCGGTCACGGGAGAGATTCGTTCAAGCCGAACGGGAATTATCCCTGACAAAAGAACGGCGTCGAGAACATCCTGAGAGGGACCCGGCCGCCCCAGCGCCGGGCCGCAAGCTCCTCATTGAGTTTGCTTGCGAGCCCGACTCACGCCTGTCTGCTGTGATGATGGAGTGTGGCGGCGAAGCAGTTCGCGTTCACATTGGCTCATTTGACATCACGAAGGCTAAGGACATTAGTCGGCTCACTGCGATCATCGAGGATAATCCTGGGTGCGATCTCTGGGCGTCAATTCCGTGTGGACCGTGGGGTACATGGCAGTATGTGAATCTTTCACTTCACGGTGCCGAGTTTGCATCACATCTGAATGATCTGAGAAGGAACTCTCAGGTGATGTTTGCAGCATTCCTGCGGGCCTCCCGAGCCGCCGAGCCGTTAGGCGAGGGGGGGGCAGGGTTGCATTTGAGTGGCCTAGACACTGCCTTGGGTGGAAGCAGCCGTTCATGCAGAGGTTTCTTGCTGATCCTGATGTCGAGACCGTTGATTTTGACGGCTGTGATTTCGGAACGCGGGACAAGGACGGTGTGCCGATCAGGAAGCAGTGGAAGGTTGCGACGACCTCCAAGGAGCTCATAGAGGAACTCTTGCGTCAAGAAGGTCGCGAGTGCTATGCCGGTCGAAGTTGATCCGGTTGAGCAGCGATGGAAGAAGAAGCCTAATACCTTGTACGTCAGTCTTGACAGCGAAAATGCCAGGATCCCAACGCGGGCTACTTTGGGGAGTGCGGGTTTGGACACCTATGCCTCTGAGGGAGTGTGTATTCCCGCAGGGGGGTCAGGTTTGGTTAGCGCCGGGATCTCGATAGAGATGCCCGCGGGTGTGTGTGCCCCCAGATCAGGACTAGCTGTGAAGAACAGGATCGCTGTAGGCGGTGGAGTCATCGATCCTGATTACGATGGTGAAGTCAAGGTCATCCTCTTCAATCATGGGGATGAGGATTTCATTGTAAAACCTGGGGACCGCATCGCGCAGCTTGTGCTGGAGCGTGTCATGCTCATTGATGCATCGATCGTTCCCAGGAAGGTCAGACGGAGAACCGATAGGGGATCCGCTGGCTTCGGTAGCACAGGCAAAACTGCTGCCGCTACGATTGGATCTGACGGAAAGAGTTTCGAGTTCTCTATACCCAGGGGGGAGATATCCCTCTCGCATCGACCGAAGAACTCAGGTGCCTTCCCTCCCTTGTACGCTTGTGTCGCTAGACCCGTCAACAAGAAGGAGCAGGCTGGAAATGCCAACACAAAGGCTGCCCTACAGAAGGAGTGGGACAAGTTGACTTCGCAGGGATGTTGGGACTTGTCAACCGTGCAGGAGTAGTTCGATGTTGCGGCTAGGGCCCGGAAGGAAGGGGAGAAGATCCATGTTGGTAGGTGTGAAGCTGTCATCCGACACTTGATGCATGGTGGATTCATGTCACTTCATGTGTGGCCATCTGGCCCAATTTCATATCCCCCACCAACAGGGTGGGCGCTTCACATGTTGGCCTCGGAGGCCATCTGCATCGCCCGGGCGAGGAGCCTTTGACTGCGCACGCCCTGCCAAAAGGGCCGCTTCGTTTGTGACCTCAGGGACTTCGTGCGCCTTGAGTACTGAGTTTTGGATCTTGCACCAACTCTTCAAGTTGGTAGCGGAGCCCTACGGCAAGTTCGCCTGGACTTGCTCTACGGCACCTTCCCTTGCACGTGCAACACGGCATCCTCACCTGAACCTGCTCTTCGGCATCTTCAGCTGAGCCTGCCCTACGTCACCTTCACCTTCACGAGCCCAACACAAAGCACCACAGCCCCGTTCTGCCATCACCATGCCCGAGGAAGCCAGACGCAGCTCACAGACCAACGGGCCTGGTTCCACCGATGTCACCAGGGACAACTTCATCCCCCTCTTCGATGGCAAGCCTGCCTCCTACAAGGAGTACCGCAAGCGCATCATGCTGTACTACCTGAAGATGAGCATCAACAACAAAAAGGAAGGAGGCCGCCATCAACCTTCTGACCAGCCTCAGCGGTCCTGCCTGGTGCCAAGTCGAACACATGGTCGACGCGGCCGCTGCGAAGGATGATGGTTTCCAAGATGTAATCCAGCAACTGGACAAAGCCTTCCAGTACGACGACCGCGTCGAGATGCCCCGCACCTTCGAGAAGTTCTTCTTTCACCTGCAGCGGCGACCAGAGATGAATCTCCTGACCTACTGCACCGAGCACCGGGAACACCTCCGGGAGATCGAGAAACACAAGATCAACCTGCCCCCGAAAAATAGTAAAAGGGGATTTGAAGGAACTGAAAATCCTTTTACTATCTTTTCTATCAACCAATGAAAAACACATTGAAAAACCAAGTATCAAATAATAGATAAGGTTAACAAATCACAACCTTATTCATTCTAAGTAATTCCTAGAAAAGATACACACCTTATCCATTATTTTTTCACTACTTAACCTATTTCATTTTACTATTTGTTTACCCTTACTCATTTTGTATTTGAAGTCTTTTTCCAACTCTCAGAAACTCCAGTTGTTCTTCATTTTTCTTTTTAACTTATTCATTGTTCACGAATTGTCCACTCAGACTTAAAAATATGACTAAAACACATTTCCACCTAATAGTTCCACAAAACCAAACAGTCAAAGCACACAAGAAAACTAAGAAAATATAATAATTCAATCTTTACAAACGATAAGTATAATATAATTATAACATATAATATTTTACATGTTATAATTATGTTTCAATTAAGAATTAAGGATTTAAGATAACAGCCAGGCAATATGTCTTCAAATATGTAATCTACATATTTATCAATATCACCAATGTCTATATATTTGATATTGTCTTTTCCTATTATTGAATAAATATATTCCCAAAAGAATAAATACAGCAATAGACATACTTTATATTTAGTGTTGTAGTAATACCATACATGATATTTAGTTATTCTAAATTCATTCAAGACCTTGTTTATTTTATCTTTGCTTAATAAATGCCAATCAATCTCTTCAAACAAATCACTAAATTCTTTGGCAAATGATTTATATGGTGTAATGCTTAGTTCTCCTCCAAACCTTTTAATCAAATCTTTATTATTAAAAAACTCATCAATTTCCTTTTTCAAATGACTCTCTATCAATTTTATGGTAAAAACATACAGGAAATCGTTTTTGATATCTCATAAAGAGTTTCAATTTTAATTGAAACTTTGTATATCCGTTATCCTTATATTATTGAACAAACAACTTTTCAAGGTCTCTTGTTATACAGCATTGATTACAATACACATCATATTCATATACATCATATTCACTTATGTTATTACACAGATTAGCAGGTAATAAGTTATACAATGTTAAATTTATATCATTCCTTTTATTATTACAACATTCACACTTACTATAATTAAACAGTGTCATTTTTCCTCTTAATATATTAAGTCAATATTTCTTTAAGTCGTTTTCACTTAATTTATTTTATACTGGCCGTAAGCAAGTGAGTTTATACTATCTATCCAATATTTTTGTTTTCGTAACAAATAAGAGCAATTTTTTAGTTGTTATACTAAAAATTCTATGGTTTTTACTTCTAATACTATTAAATGACTTATGTATAACCTCATTAGTTTTAAAACCGTCTCAAACTCTTCATATTTCATTTGACGTCTTACTGTGCCTTTTGCTATGCCCTTACATTTCTTATATTTTTTATCATCACCATAAACTGAGTAAGCGTAGCATTTAGGACGAAGGGCTATAAACCATGTTATTATTTACTTTTTAATTCATCCTTAAATTTTCCTAATACTTTCTTGTTATTCTCATCATAACATTTATGTTCCTTAGGATAATCTGAAAAATCTATTTCTTTTTTAATTGTATTCAGGTCTTCATAAATGTCATTGGTTTTAGTATGAAATACAAAACTGTCAGTATCAGTATGTACCATTTTAATATTATCTCCATATTTAGGCTTCATAACGTCATAATAAAATTTCTACATGTGTTGCTTACTCAAATCTAAAATACTCATCCCAATAAATATAGGTTTGTCTAGTTTCAACTTTGTTTTTTGCTTTTCAACCCCAACCAAATTTTCATTAATGATATGACTATGTTTGAAGTTAGGATTACTTACACACTTCATATATCTAGTTTCATCACTAACAACCTCAAAATCTAAATGTTTCCTTTTATCCTCCATTGTTTTTCAAAATATGGCATTGTTCATCAATTTATAAACGTCTTTCTCAAAATCATTTCTAGCATTTTTTCTCTTCTCAGTGTTAAACTCAATGTACGGTTTTAAAACTTCTTTTGTTCAAATTTAATTGCTCTATGAATTTTCTTAAGTTTTAACCCTTGCTTCAAATAGAACTGTAAGGTTCTTATATGGATTACATATTTTTCTTTATCATTTAAATTCAATACTAATTTATTGGTTTTCTCATCCGTGGGTTTTTTATGATTGAAAAATTCTTAAATTTCAATTTCTGACAGCATGTTGGCTTTAACATTCATAACCTCAGGTGCCATTGGATAGTCATTGTGTAAATCGTGTAATTCTTCAGGATATTCTAAATCCACTTCTAGACTATATCCAATATTATTATTTTTGTAATTAATAATGTCTTCTTCTTTTAATGTATCATCCCATTTAAATGTTTATATGGCAGTTTTTGTATCATGCTTAGCCCATACAAATTATTAGCATCAAAATAGTTAATATAACTACTTTCTTTATTTTTATCATGTTCTTCACCCATGTATTTATTGTTTGCTTCAACTTTTTTAGTAGAAACCATACACATCCCTCCTCTAAGTCCTGCTTCTATCATTTCATACATTTCTTGGTCATATATTAAATCAATCTCTACACCAGTCATTTTAAGCATAGCATCAAAAGCAAAGTTAGGCAATGTATAATAATATGCAGGGTCCAATCCATAATATTTCATACACACATCTCTAAAATTTTCGAAAATGTCAGTCAACAATAATACATCAGTTTTCAAATGTAAAAAAAGGGTATTCACCCATATTCTTAATGTCGAAATGCTTCCATATAATTTTTGCCCTTTCATAGTCGTTAACACTTATACCTTCTTCACTCAACTGACTGTAAAAATCATCCTTACTCGGTAATTGCTCATCATCAAATTTATCAAATGAATTCATGTAGTCATAAGGACAAACACCTTTATCAGTCAACAAATCTAGACATTTCTCACTCTTAATCAAATCATTTTTACTATTGAACCTAAAATTATCTTTCCAGTTTTCACGCAATAACCATTTACTTTTATCTTCTTCATCTGTATTATCATACTTACTCATTGAAACTAATTTATCTAATGAAGCAGTTAAAAACCCAAAAGTGTCTTTAACACTCCAACTTTCAAAGCTGATATTAATAAATTTTTCATTGTTCTGAGCGATGACACCTATTTTATTGTTGTTACTTAATTTATCAGCATTTTGAATAATTAAATGACCGTCATAATTTTTCATGTTATGGAAGAATACAGGAATTTTAAAATATCTATTACAAAAATTAAGATTGCAAACATTATGAGCACAACCTCTATACTTACCTGTAAAATGACAATGGTCTCTAACTTTTCTATATTTCTCTGCTTCCTTAGCAGTCTTATAGTTCTTCTAAACTTATCCCCAAAAATAAAGCATTTTTTAGCATTTTGAAAATCTTCTTTGTCTTCATCACTCATGTCTATGTCTTTGTTTTCTCCCATTTTATTTTTTTACTTCTGTCCTAATCTCATTAAGTTTTTGACAAAACACATCAACAGCATCTTTACCACGATACATAAATTCATAATTTGTATTATCAACAGCATTAACCATATTAAGCATAAAACCACATGGCTTATGCTCTTGATAAGAAAAAGTGTTTTTATCTTCATCTTCATCAGGTTTTTCAGTTCCTCTGTCAAACATTCAAAATCAGCATATACAACAAAAGGACATCTTAACTTTTTGAAGTGATGCTTAAAACTAACTTTCTCATAAGGCTTAGGCATTACTATCTGTTGACCTTCAACTTCCATGCATCCACTATCATAATGTTTATTTAATAATTCTTCATTTCTAAATCCATGATTACAATATTTACAAAAATAGGACTTACCATTATGATTACTTTTTTGACTATTAATAAGTCTGCTCAAACTTTTTATATACACATAATGACTGCAATCCTCATCATCAACTCTTAATAAATCAAAATGAAAAGAAGCATCTGTATTTTTCAATTTTCTACTAATAACAATTTGTTCATTATCATCAATTTCATAAACATTAATGGATATTGATTTATTATTTTCTTCAAATATATCTATATCATGATTATTAGCAGGAAAACTCACACCATCAAAAATCAAATCACTTTCTATCTTCTTGTAATGAAACATCTTTTCAGGGTGTGCTTTATCACAAATTTTACAATATCCACACTCAATAGAATATTTAAAACACTTGTCATCTTGATTTTTAATATTGATACATGCCTTTTTCTTTTTAATCCATTCTGGAAGTTCGATATATTTGCCAGCTCTAGTCGGATTATATTTATTATACATGATATGAATATTATTAATATTGCTAATTATTAATCCTGACTGATACAAAGCCATATCTAAAATTCTTGTTTCAACATCAGGTCTCATTCTTTTCAAAGCATTCCTTAAATCCTCTTCATTTACAATAGTGTACGACCTTGTCCTAACTGTTACGTTTCTCTCCTCATCAAATAAGTTCATAACTTTCATATTTATTGTAGCATTAAGTTTCATTCCTCTATTCTCTTTCAAGTATTCATTAAGTTTGTCAAATTGATAATTAAAATAAGTCAATCCGTTCAACTCTTTTAAATGAATGTTTGAAATTGTGTAGGCGTTAGCATATGCTCTAAAGGCGCTTCTTTCTTCTGTTATTACTGCTTTTTTCTTAATAGCATGTTTTAAAACCGTTCTTGCTCCTACTCTTTCTCTGATTTGATTTGCTTTGTAGTCATTAGTTTTCTTTACTGCTTCAAGTCTCTTACTCAATCTATTGC